GAGATAGGATAATAAAGATTATTACATACATACACACAAGATATGCACGAAAATCATAACCCTTCCTTTACAGCCGGGTAAAAACGAACTATATGAACTTGTGATAGGTAATATTTATAAATAAAATACACGCGTTTTTTATTCCGTTTAGTTGTTATCGTGTGTTACACTTCCGAAAACAGCATTCTAATAATGTTATTTTAAAATATACCTTGAATAAATTGCATTAAGTTTTATATTTAAATCATAATGTCAATCAGCTGTCGTCCTATTTCATGTCAGTGTACATAGAGTATACGCGGAGTTGAAGAGCGTGTGGTCCGTCGGGTTGGCTCACAATTATTGTGCTCGTTCAAATTTATTGCAGTCATCTGACTGTCCAATGACTGCAATTAAAACTAGCATTGTCTCGTCAGACTGACTGTGGACAATACATTGTTAGATATTCATTTTATTTGACATAATGAATATAAATCAAAGCCAAAAATTCATATAAGGTACTTTGTGTAATAGATCTAATTATTCTAATATAATGTTATAAAACTTCTAACTACTCGTAATTTTAAAAGTTCTTTCAATGTCATTAAGCTACATTTTTAGGGAACATGGGTTCTTATTTATTTCGTAAAATAAGAAGCCGGCTGTGTCAGCTCGTCTATAATAATGATTAAGTGTGATTATAATTAATTTGGAGCTTATTTCTAAATTTTAGTCAATATAAAGAAAATAATTCGAAGTGATGAGTGAATCTGATATTTTGAGTACCAGTTGATAAATTTTGGTTTTACGATTTAGGTATTTATTCAAGTGTCTAAATATCTCAAAATAATACAAAAAGACAAAAAAATATTTCAGGAAATGTTGATCTACATATTTGAAATGTAGCGTGGGTAAGCGTACTTATCTACTTATATAATAGTTTCATTGCTATACCTAGGTTAAAGCTATTCTTAGCTGTGACAAAAACCTACTATACCTAAGTATATTAAAACGCACTGAGACCAGCCGTATTCTGTTAAGTCACGATCAGTTCGACAACTTTCACATTCCAAGTAGGCGTCTTATCCATATATTTAAGGTGTCCTTGTCTACCTGCTCAGTGTTTAGGTACTCACTGCATCCGATACGATATATAAACGAACCCGAGCTTAATTAAAGCCCAAATACTACGGTTATGTATGTTTGAAAAATACCCGCCTAAACTAAGTCACTGTACAATGATATATATTTTAAAAGTGGTCTATTGTATACAGTACACATAAAATATCTGATAATTATATGTGACTACTGAAGGCATTCTTGTTAACATTACACCATTAGGTATATAGAAAATTTTACCATCATCTTATTATATACGTAAAGTTTTGTGTTTTGCAATGATAAATAAACAGTGGTAGGTATGTCCGTTTACTATCACCTTAAGATCCGGATGTCGATGTGCACTACTTCCGCTTTGATGGACGTCGCTCGCGTACTCTTGTGGTCGGCCATTCAGATCGAACGCAGTGCGCAAGCGTTCATAGAAATAATTATATTGTGATTACTTCAGTCCGTGGATAATGTTGCAAATTGGAAATATTCTACTGAAAACGAAAATCTGATTTGTTTCGAATCAGCAACCCTCATATAAATAGATTTGGCAAGCATATTGATAAAGCAAATCGAAATAACGATTCGCCCGAACGGCTTTTACAAAATAACACTGTAATTTGTACTCGAGTCTGTTTCTGTCACTTCACAAGTATTTTGTGCTCATCAAAACAATAACGTAGAGAAGGGAAGAAACGAAGGAGTGGCGAATGATTCCAACGGCTTAAGAGAATTAGATCGGCTGTCATCATAAACAGCATATTAATGTACCCATTGTTCCACGGAAATAAGCCACGGCGTGGGCCCAACGCGGATTGGTGGATGCTAGCCACTGCGGACGCAGTCGGGATCAACGGCCTTCCGAAGCATGTAGGAGCTCGAGATAATAAAATTTTGATCACTCATTGGCGATTTCTTTTATTCTACTTTCTACGAACTACGATTATCACTACATTAATATAAAACAAAGTCGCTTTCTCTGTCCCTATATAGGGATATCCCTATGTACGCTTAAATCTTCAAAACTACACTACAGATTTTGATGCGGTTTGTTTTTCATAGATAGGGTGATTCAAAAGGAAGGTTTTTATGTATAATACAAGACCACGCGGAAGCCGATGGCGGAAAGCTAGTGTTAAAGAAAAATGCTTAGGTTACAATTGTGACCACCACACCAGAAATATATTATTCGACGGAATTTTATTTCTTTTCAAATTTATATTATTTCTTAATCGCGGTCACCCTAAATTATTTCAATTGATCACTCGAATAAAATTAAAAGCGTTATCAATTTGCATTCGGAATTTTACAAATCGGCGAGCGTTTGTAAACGTACGCGGTCAACTGTAAAATGATAAACTATAGAGTACAATGCTGTCTCTAATCGAAACTTCTCGGATTGGAACTAGATACAATGTGTTAATGTTTCTGAAGTAGGTATCACAGTTCCAGAGTTTTTATTATAGTTATGTATGGATTAGTGTAAATAATTGCAGTTCAAAGAGATGACCTCACGTAGAACCGCACTGCTGACGTGAAATTACGATAATGCAACCGTTACTGTGAAACTTTATTTCATGTCATAATACTAATATCCGTATCTCGACTCGTAGTCGAGTAAAAGTATTTTTTAAAGAAACACGAATTTAAATGAAGTTACCTGTAAGTATTCTAAGTTTGGATACTATTATTATTATATATTAAAATTCTTATTTCATTCAAATTCTCGTCTATTGGTTAAAAATGTTTGCTTAATTGTATAATTTATCAAGTAATTATTTATCTCGACTAAAGATACGTGTCTAACGGATTCTTGTAATAGATTATTATCTATCATTTAAAATTTTAAATTATTGTTTTCTTTAATATCAGTAACCTTATACTAATAATTCATTTCCGAGGAAAATTTGATGTTATAACTAATACAATTGAATTATAAAAAACAGTAGCTCTTTTCCTGTGGCTTCGCTCGTGGAAATTACCTCTGTCAACTGCGTATGATTTAGTTATCCGTAGGTGATTTGTTTTTGGTTATTCTGTAGTTTTGGAGCAGCTTCAATGCAAACAAACAATAAAAATTTTCCTTTTTATAATATTTGTATAGATTTAACAATTAATAACATACGATTTTATGAATTCACTCAGTGAAAATAAGAAAAACCTATCTGACTAGTGGCGTGTAAATAGTGTTTATTATAGTACTGCGAAAAACGTATCTTTCTAAAGATTGGATCATTTGTATCTGAATCGATACAAAGATCCGAATCAATTAATGCTTCATTTGGACCATCGATTCTCAGATAGATTCAAGAGCAAATTAACTTAATTAACTCAATCGCGTTATGAATGTATTTAAAAATTACCTAATGCTTTTCATTGAACTTTGATATGGAATGTTGGTTTTTAAAATATAATAAAATATTTAAAAAAATAACAGTTTTTATTTTTTTAGTAGTTTCCAAATACACTTAAAATAAAATTGATTCTCCCTCATACTTAGTTCAGGCTTAGGACTGACAATTGCACTAGTTTTCTCGATACACATGCTTAATGCAATTTACTCATTTCCTAATTTAGATAGATAGATAAATCTTTAATTTAATGACATAATCGGTTTTTGCATTCTAAACTTTGATCATAATATATGATTTCGAAAGAAATATAGTCGCTGGCTGGCCTATAAGTGCGCTCGTTTGTTACCGACACGCGACTCGATGTCGCCCGAATCTTTCCAAACAGTCGCTTAATTCTGCTCAGTTCATTCGTGTCAGTGAGCGCCACTGATTCAGATCAGTGTATCATTTGCTGAGTCGATTCAGTAAAGATTTACACACGTCTAGTGTTTATAACTTAAAAAAATACATTTAATCTATTATTTTATGATAGTTACCATTGCTTAAACTAGTAAATAAAGACGCAGTAATAATGTACACTCTTATTGCCTAAGTCGGTTTAAAGACCTCATTTTCTCTATATAAATGACCAAGATTCTCACCAAACGGATGTTAAAAGGTCAGAGCATGTGATTTACGTCCGTAGCAGTTCCAACGAGCAACCTCACGTACCTACAACACGTGCTGTTGGTCGTGAGGCGAATAACATCTGTACTGTTTGTGTGTCAGTGTGTCTAGGAGATGGGCATGCATGTGACACACATCGGCTTTATGAGACGAACGCTGGCCTCGCAAATTTCCAAACTTTGTTATTCAGAAATGCAAATAAATAGGTTCGTTCGCCTCAGGCAAGTTCTATTAATATTTCACTTTCTCTCTATCGGACTTTTTTTTTCTTACTAATTGTGTAATGATAAATATCAGGAGTAAGCAGTCTCCTCTGACCGGGGACCCCTTCCAGCTGGGCGCCCGTGGCATTTTGCCGACATGCCGTCCTGTAGTTACGCCACTGCTCTCTATTGTTTTATATCAATTTCAACTTTATGGAATAAAATATCGAGTGCAGAGTATATACACGAAAGTATTTAATCATAACAATTACTTACTGAAAAATGCTTTAATAATCTTCTTTGTCCCTGGCACTCTATCTTAACAATTTGCTTGAGAAACAAATATTAATTAAAATTGCGTTTTTTGAAGTGAACATAAGTAGTAGATAATGTTCTGCTAGACAAGCTAGTTTAAACGGAACTCTGCTTAGTAGCTATAATTTAAGATTTTACAGACTTTTTAGGTTACACAAGGTTTCAGATCTCCGATCACAGAGATTTGTCAGACCAAACACTTGTGTACCCACGATAATACTATCATGCGTTTTACACAGGTTTTATAACCTAAATTCTTATCGTAAAACTGAATGTGCTTCGCTTCGTCACAATATTTCCATAGATCTGATTTCTTACATACATTAAATACCGCAAGTGCAATGTGCTTATGTTATACTTAGTTGAATTAATTATGTCGCAGCTGGGCCGCGTGCCGGTGGGTGTGCTGGTGCCGCCGCCGCGGTACGCGACGCTGCCGCTGCCGCCCGCGCACTACCCGCCGCCGCCGGGCAGGCTCTACTACCCGCTACACGACGCTGTCAGTCATTTGTATTATATATACTTATACTTATACTACAGTATTTATACTTATACAAGTAAACCCGACGTAAAAATTAAAAATATTTGTTTAAAACCAAACACCTAAATAAATGAAAACTCGGGTGGTTAATATTTATAAATCTACAAACAAGTCCCGCATTCGGGTTCACTTTGGGCACAGCACGTAAATAGTTCATTACACCTTTCGTATATTATTTATCTTCAATAGTAAATATAACAGAAGTTGTAAAATAGTTTTATATAGACTCCAGCTTCAACATATTTATCAATCTCCCTATAAAAATAGAGTATAATGCAAAAAAAAATAATTTTTTTAGTACAATACAAATTGACAAACGCGCCCTCTTAATGTAATCTGTAATTTGTTCGATTTCCAGCGGTTCCGTCGCAGGCGATCGCCCCGCGAGCGTCGCGCCGAGCGGAGACGTCGCGAGGAGCGCGAGCGGGACTCGAAGCTGACGCGGTCGCTCGAGCGGATACACCGCAAGCGGCGAGCGGACCGCGACCGACCCTCCGACGCCGACCTCAAGCGGACCTACACGGGACTAGACAGGTATACACATATATACCGTCTATCGTCGACCAATCCATAACGCAGTGCTTAATGTATACGAACTGTGATTGGAAGAAGAACGTAATTTTCACGGAGATTTAGACTTCTCCTTTCTTTGGAAGGCATATCAAACGGTTGGTCCAGACTGCATCTACAAAAATCTCTTGAAAATTGTAAACTAACAAAATTTGACTTCATAAATAATACTTACGTTTCAATTCGACTCTCATTCGATATGATATACACCGGCCTGCACTCTTGTTTTTCTAACTTAATGCTAAATGTTCTGTTGTTATATGAAATATATCCGACTCCTTGCCGTATATATGTTCCTTAATAAATAAATAAAAAAAATATATGGGTATCGTAAATGCCACTGATATAATACTATAATGATCGTGTACAGGGCGTACGCGGAGCAGTTCATAGCTGTGTGCGACGAGAGCCGACACGCGGCGGAGAGCCACGACTCGCTCGCGAGCACGACCGCCTCCAGCGACACCGCGCACTCGCAGGCCACCGCCTAGCTCCCGCCTAGCCCCCGCCTATGCGTGACCACTTCATCCATCACGAATCAAGGCACACGATCACATTATCACAACGAGGATACTCTGGTTTTTCGAATTCGAATGTGACAGTGACCGACCATAGATTTTCCACTCGATAATGTTAAAAATTTCGTTAGGTCATATAAATTTACAGCAGCATGTGACATGCTTGCTGATTATTGCTCAAATTATCTGATATACTTATCATACAAATTCTAATGCATTTTTTTATAATTTTGATGGACGAAATGCATTATTTCCTGATTACAAACAACATGAAACATTTATGGATTATTATAAATGGAATCTATTAAATGTGTCTTTTTATAAACATCATGAACGCACAGCCCATTTTACTGGGACTACGAATAAGCTTCAACTTAGTTTACTACTTAGTAATGATCGTAAAATACTCATGTTATATCTTACTAACGGTGTACACAGTATCAGACCAAACTTGAACATGATAGCTTTAGTTATTAATTATATACATTGTAAATAATTCACAGCCACGTTTAGATGTAAGTAATTATTGTTTCACTAACCCCACTCGATCCACGTCTAATAACATTCACTGACGAGGTTTTATACCATGATTTAATTGAATTATAACAACATAAAGTGTCTTGTTTTGCAATATTAGAGCAAATAATGTCGACCGTCGGCGAAATCTATTCGGCATGGATGTATTATGTATGACACTTCGATAAAAAATAAAACAATTATTAAAGACGAAAAACATTCTTAAATTATTAAGAAACTTGTTCTCTTGGTTTGATAATGTTAACGTTGTTAACCATATTAATCCCAGATTTCTTATTCCAGGGCTAAGTCTTGACAATGGTGTTCCCTCTCTCCAGTGTTTGAGATAAATTGTTAAGAAAACATTTATTACTCTATCACACGGTTTCTGAATTGAGTATTTTAAGTTAAGCACGTCTCAAAATGTACTTGAACGTCACTTAAACAGGTGTTTACCTATTCAGAGTAATCTTTTGAGAATGTATACTTTTCAATCAATTCACAAACCAGCCGTGTGTTAAGTATAACATTTTATATGAATTATAATATGACCATTTCGACGCTCCCTCATGCTGCAGCCTAAGGCTTTGGGACAATTTAACATTTTTATAAAATGATCCACTTATTGTTGTTAGCAAAATTGGTAAATTACCGAAAATTTTCAATTAAGTCATGGGGATAACTTCGATTTTTACTTGTTTAGCACATTACTAACGATAATTGTAAACTTGTGTAATGTCGTCAAATGTCTGTGTTATACGCTACGACTAAGTCTTATTTGTATATTTAGATTCTGATAGAATGGGAAACATATTAACAATTAACATTATACTTTATCTGTTATAGTTAATTTAATGATCAATCGACCTAATGATTGACCTAACATTAATATACAACATCTTTTACTGCTCAATAATTAAAGTAGACTCCAACATTATACGGTGGTAGGTTTTTAAAAGTTTATTTTGGATGTTTTTTTTTTCAAAAATTCATGTTTCTCATATTTTTCTACAAAAATATTTCAATTATCATATTATACATATTGTAAGATATAATATTTTTTTTATTCTTATTTTGTGAAGATAATAAGAAAAAATGAAACCCACAATTAATTGATTTTAATTCAAGAATAATTGTATCTTAATAATCAGGTAGGGTTTCATTGTAGGTATATCTGTTTTTGCTAAGGAAAATATATTGTATGACAGAATTCTATATTTAAGTAGTTCTAAATATACTTAACTGTATGTAACCTAACTTTAACAACTAACTTATTTCTAGTGTTTGTACAATTGAAACAAAGTCCAATGTACCTAATTGGTGCCAAATTGTGTCGAAACTATTATTGGTGCTACTCGTATGTACGCACCTTGCGCTTGTAACGACAAATTTATCGATTCGCTCACTTTATTATAAGTAGTTTTGCTAAGATTATTAGTTATAAATATTATTTAATTATACTTATTAATTTTATAATTCCCAAGTTTTACATTTATTGTCTGCTTTATGAACGATAACAAATGTTGGTCATATTTCATCCGTATGTTTTGTAATTTCATTAATCTACATATTGTTTATCATGAAATCTGAAGCCTATAGTTTGACACGATTGTTTCAGTATTGAGAAATTTTACCATAAAATAGGTATTTTTTAATGCAGACTATGTCATCTCAACCTATCTATTAGATATAATTACACGAATAAGATAGGACTCCTTTTATATTTACACTTTACTTGCTAACAAAAAAATGAAACAATTTATTACTAAGTATGATAATAATCACTTTTTATTAATTGTTAAAATTGTATCATCCATTTCTGGTGCTAAACGTAATTTGTAAAGTATTTATAAATATTTGGTTAACTTTTAATATTTATAAAAACGCTCGTTTGAGGCAAAATAAATACTCTTTAGTTTATTTTTTTTTTATATCTTATTTTGTACTATATTGTTTTTTATAGATATGATACCTTTATAATAAGATATATTCTGTATAATTAACTTATAACATATTCGTTTCGTATACTTTCAATATAAATATTGTTTTACTTTAATTTTTAACTAATTAAAAGTAGCCACTTAGAATCCTATGTGAAATGTAACTACTTATAAGTAATGACTAATGATTCGTTTATATTAGGTCAGTATGGGAATACGTAGTCAACGAATTTTTATATCGATTATAATAAAATAAATCTATTTATTTTGTAAATTTTTATTGGTTAATCTGAACAAGCGACGTGTAATAAATATAAATACACCAATTATAATTTGATTATTATTTACCCACGCTATACCCATGACCGGTAAAATAAAAAATAATTTTCTTTTCACTCCCAAAAGGTAAAATAAAAAACTTTCTAGTCTGCTCCAAACAGTGAATATTGATTAGTCATAGATCTCGCTTACACTAGCGCCTCTAGCGGCGAATTCGAATTAGATAAAAATTACATTGCCTTTAATTAATTGAACATTTTTGTTAAATAATAACTAGTGGTTTGAATTATTCAATAGAGATCTTTTTCCCCTCATCAACCGATACAATAAGTGTATCAAAATTTCAACATACCATATATGGACAGGATTGTTTATACAATATGTGTATAAACAATCCAGTAAAATTAGAACCCATTGGACTGGCTCGATCACTGTGTTGAAGCTACTAGAACTAAGACGCTCGTCTTAGTTGAAAATATTTTGGGCTTGCGCTTTGAGGTTACTACTGGACTGTATCGGCTAGTGGTCTCGTGTAATGTTCCACGTCCACAGCGGTGCAGCAGCGGGGCGGGGCGGGGCGGGGTCCACTAGAACTCGTTGTCGCTGAGCGCGGAGGCGCGGCCGGGCGCGGCGCTGGTCAGCCGCAGCTCGCTCTCCGACGAGCTGCCCAGCGACCCCTCCCCCTCCCCCTCCCCCAACCCCCGCCCCTCCATGCCCACCCCCATACTCTCCACGTCCTCCACGCCTGCCCACACACACATAACTCACTCAGATAAAATCAACAACAGATACTGCTAAATTCTGTTGCACAAACTTAAAACGGTTTTAATAAGTCAAACAGCAAATATCCGACATGTAAGCTTATTGTATTACTTGCCGTACGGTACACACAGGAGCACGTTTAAATTTGACGGATTTGAACAAACCCAAAATGAAATTAGATTTTTAGTATAGAGAGCAATACAACTAAACCAGTATCGGTGTAAAAATTAACACATCCTCCGAGCTCCGGCTCGATTCATCTATACATAAACTATAGGTCTGCATGGTTTTATGGATATAGCAAACTATGCCAAGCCATGCAAACAGATTATTTTAACTTTAATTATTGGAACCTTAAGAATGCAGTAAAACAAAACTCTGGTTGGCTGTATCATTGATACAGCCATATTTTATGCGTGGATACGTCTATGTATGAATGGATATATGAGTAATTGATAAAAAAATAAATAAACAAATTGAAGACACTAAATAAATAAATATTCGTTGCGTTCATTTGTTGAATGAAAAAAGTATTCACTAGCGCCAACAGATGGCGTTAGTGCATATACTCCTGCTGACAGAATGCCCCTCCCCCTGCAGAGCAAGCATAGTTCACTTATAAGCCAATAGATGGCGTTAGTGCATATACTCCTGCTCACAGAATGACCCCCCTGTAGAACGAAAACATAGACGTATCCACGTCAAAAACACTTTTGTTATTTAAACCCGAGTCCATGTCCACGGTATTCAAAAGTGCAATATTTTCAGAGCAACCGTACCTAAGGAGTTTCTTTTATCATTGGCAAAATAACACAATATAATTGGTGCGCTTGCTGTTAACTGACTGCAACTAGGTATATGTAATTGATAACCTTCAATGAGGTCGTTGAAGTCGTCGTCGTCGGTGGTGGCGAGCGTGCGCGTGGCGGGCCGGGGCCGGGCCCGGGACCAGCGGGACGGTATCTCCGTGCCACCTACACATATATATGTTAGGGGACGTACATTAATGACGTGAGGCTCGAAAGTGGTGAGAGGGTTCATCGAAAATATCGGAAATGGGGGTAGTGATAGGTATATCACGATTATTTATTTTTTCCGACGTCAAAATTAAGTCTTTTTTTGTAGGTACAAAAAATGCACGCGATTTGGGTGAAGGGGGAGTAATCTTGAACCTCACCAAGGGCGGTGTCAGTATGTGGGGTTAAAAAAATATTAAAAAAACATCACATGATTAATGAACGGCCCCTTAGCTACTATGTAGTTGTTATCCCGCAACTTTGCCCGCGTAAATTATAATGTATATCACCCACGGGCGTACGAAGTAGCTTCTCGTAGGCAAAGGAATTTTCGAAATCACTGCAGTAGTTTCGGAGCCTAATCGATGCAAACGAGGATATCTTTCCTATAGACCTGTAGACGCGAATTACATATAAGGTATACCAAAAACGAAGACACACTGCAGTTCGTTCCCGAAATGAAAGGTCTCAAGAGACAGACGAACAACAAAGTGGTCCTATGAGGGTTCTGTTTCTTCCTTTCGAGGTGTGAACTTTTAAAATGACCCCTTTTCCGTCCCCACTGTAAGGGGCTCAGGTCTTCCTTATGGATGATTAAGGACGATAGGCCGTGACTCACCACGCTAGCCCATGCGGATTGGAGGGTATTAACGTCCTGCAAATGCAGCCGGGACAAAAGCTTAACATGCCTTCCGAAGCGCCGAGTTGCTCCTGATAAAAATTTTTGGTCATCCATCCCACGATTGGCCCTTGCGAAACTACAGCGATCACGAACCGCGGCGCCTTTTTTCTACGTCACCGTGAGGCGCCATCGGCGTATTATACCTCTCCGTCGCTCACCGTATAACTGTCGCTCGGAGAAGTCCGAGTCGGAGTGCGAGTCGTCCTCGTCCCGTATCTCGTCGAGCGAGTCCCGCGCCGCCGCCGCCGCCGCCGCCGCCATGCTGCCGAACGCGCGCCGCGCCTCCGCCGCCGCCACGCCTGCGTGTGTACACACACCTCACATCTATCTTTTTCCATAGTAACTACAGATATTAAGCAGTATGGGCCTCATCGACCACAAATTCATGGGAGTTAAGGACTACAGACATTGACTGATTGATTGGGACTGAGGGTTATGGATGAATGGCCTTTTCGAAAGTCGCTAAATTTCCATAATTGCAGACCGAACGCACTAACTACTGCGTCATCGAGCCCCAGTGCATCGAGAGATTACTAATTCAATCGACATATTTAACGATTTCAGAGCAATCACAGTTTCTAAGTTTGTGCGTGAGAACAATGAGGGTGACCCGTTTATCAGTAAAACTGATAGAAAAGTAAAGAAAAGAAGAACACATTGCTTTGACTCCAAACGAAATTGGAAGAAGGTCATATACAATTCAAGATTATTTGATATTTTATGTCTCGTAGCTAAACCAAATATACTATGTAAATATTAATAATTGCTTAGAAAATACAGAGATAATTGCGGTAAATAACGTATGTAATATTATAAAACGACCTGCAGTTTTAATGCGCAGTCTCGTCTTGGGTCTGGTCGCAGGACGCGGTTGTTTTGCTTCGCCCAAATCCTTCGCTTCATCACTGGAAGCCGTGTCATCTGGATTTAAAAAAATTGTAAAAGTTTTTCTTTCGCTTTTATCGAAAACTATTAAAGATTCACATTTAAGACCTTTACCTCAAGAAATTTACTGAATTACAGGTTTTTCACAGCAATAAATCTTTAACAATAAGTTGACATTCTCACTTCTTCTAACCTTAGTGCATTTGGCTTGTTACCTGAGTCACTGAGCTTGCCCAAAACATCTTCAGCTTCATACTTATGAATTAGTTGCATTATTGCAGCTTGCTGCTCTTCAGCCGCCTAAGTAAAATAAATTGCACAATTTGTATTGACTATATTCCAGAGCATACAGTTTAAGTCAGAATTTAACTAATAGTTACAATAATTGGTATGATACCTCAGCTTGCGCGCTTTCCAACATACTAAGCTGATGCTTGAGAGCTTCGACACAGCGATAGCGTAGCACATACTGTTCCCATAACTGAGAGATTTCCGCTTCCAACGCCGTCAGTTCACCTTGGTATGCCGGCCTGAACCACGAGTTGTTGAAGTTTAATATATAATATATATAAATACTGTCTCTAGGGTAGGATTTAATCATTATCAAATAATTCTAATTTAATGAGACAAGACAAATTAATAAATCCCGTGGTACTCTTCATACGGCAAAATATCGAATCAGCAATAAATCTACTTTAGCTTTTTAAAAAGTTTAAGTTAAAGGTAAACTCGATTTGTATAAAAGAATCGCGGCGTGAATTGGGCGAGATGATATAAAATGATAGATGAAGAACTCACTTAATTTTTTGCACGGTATGCAGTCGCTTCTCAGCTCTCATCAGCTCGGCCCTTCGCCGCTCTAACTTGGCATCGAGTGCTGCCTCGCTAGCAGCGATGTTATCGATCTGATCGCGAGCAGAAGACACCTTAGCTGCGACTGCATCTAATGCACGACGAAGGGCCGCTTCCATTGCTGACATGTCCAGAGGACGCGACAATGCTTGTTCGCGAAGCTCCTAAAATTTATTTAGTGTGTGATATACTGACCTTCTGACTTCTGAATGGTATTGTTTTTCAAATCGACTAAAACTAACAAAACCAAAACTTATTTGGCTAAGCAGTATCACCTTTATAAGTAGTTCTTACCTTATTTTCGACTTCCTTCGCCAGCAAGTCGTATAAGAACGCACCTTGAGCAGTGATATCTGTTGCCAAGGCCCGAGCTTGCTTAATCTCTCCCAACTAAACAAATATTTTTAAATTGTAACTGAAATATTGTAATTATGTTGAAATTGCCATATGTAATACAAAAAAGATACTTCAGATCCAATATTGTAATTAAGTCTAGGCTGTCACAAGCACTTGCGAAAGTTGAAAGCTATGCCAACTGGCAAGAAATTCAGCAAATGCTGCTTTTTTCTCCATGTATTTTTCATTCTAGTTGCTTTAGCTTATGTCAAAATACGTGATTTATGGGTTGTGTAGGTGTTTACTCACTCGGCTCGTGACGTCGTAGCTGAGGGCACCACCTTCTCCTTGCTGATCATCTGGTGACGGCGATTCCAAGGCGGACCGTAGCAGGGTGGCCACCTTAAGCAGCTCTCGCACTGCCCACCCATCAGCACCATACAACTTTTTTCCGTTCAATTTCAGATTAGCACGGGAATGCTAGGAAAATAGATTACACATGCAAAAATTAATGTAAAATTATACAAATGAGATAATATTAGAATTATATTTCTCTTAGAGATAGATATTATATCGCTCAGACAGACTCCAAATTCAGTAATTATGGAATTTATACCATGGAAATCAGAAACAACAAACATCCAGACCTGAGCAAATATAGGAAAGTTAATTTTAATCCGACCAGAAATTGGATCCTGTACACCTGGAAACCAGCTTGCGAGCCATGGAAACCGTCAATGAAGTATGTCACGCCATTTTTTTTTTATTATATGTACAGAGTAAGTAAGACTGTTTACTTATTCATTACAATATCAACAAAATTCGGACAAACCGGACAACATCTAATTTGACAAAATCAAAAATGCTGCATTATCCGAATGCCCAACCCTACAATGGATAGTCTCCTGTACTTACAAATAGCGCAACAGCGTGCGTAACCATGGCGACGCGCTGCTCAGCAGTATGCCTGCTGCCGGGCAGCGCCGCGTCAGGCTCCACGCGCGCCGCTAACCAGCGCAGACACTCCTCCACTAGCTCCCAATTGGGAGTCCGGAAACTCTCCAAAGAGATTTGCTTAGGAAAACCTAGTGTACGCATTGCTTCGCTGAAATCTAGAATAGATATGTATGTATAGATATTCGATCCGTAGAAAATGTCTTTGTCGAAATAATGGTAAACAAAGTATATACCAACTTACTTCGTAAATCTCTGTAGGACATCGCAGTGAAGAAATGTTTAACTTGCAGAAAAGAAATATCACAATTACTCTAGAAAACCCTCAACATTCAGACATTTTTGAAAAGAGTAAAGTATTCAGTATTGTTGACATAAATACGTTACTAAGGACTGGTAACTATGTTGTTCACGGTTTCATTCATTAAGCTCTTAGGTTAAGTTTATCAACAGCTGGCTTTAGTGTTCTCATCTTATAATTTCTAATCATTACTATACTTTACTTCTATATTAATATCATAAATAGGGAAGCATTTGTTTGTTTGTTTGCAATGAATGGGCTCCGAAGTTATTGGACCGATTTAAAAAATTCTTTAACCTACGGTAAGCTCCATCATAAGCGGTGAAAGTGAACATAGGCTATATTTATCCCGAAAAACAACAAATAAAAGAATGAAAATGTAAGTGGAAGTTTGCATGGGGAATTAAAACGTTGCCATACTAACCATTGTTTACCAATATTGTTTACTATTCATTTTTTCATTATAATTAATTATATCCGTGTCATGGATATCGATTCATAGATATCCAAATAAACAGTTCCCTACGGGCCACGCAGACGAAGCCGCTGGCGGAAAACTAGTAACAAATAAAGGGGAAAGATTTCATTTTTTGTTTGCATCGAATAGGCACCGAAAGTACTGAAACGATTTTAAAAAATCTTTCACCTACGGACAGCGACAACATACGGGGTTGACATAGACTAATTTACGCGTGCAAAGTCGCGAGACAACATTATTTATTACGAATATAAACGCTACTCTACCTTAAAAGTATGTGATGCCCATGCGGTTATGCGTATTTACGTTTAATTGCAATGCGGTATCAGTCTTATATTAGTCGTTCAATGGTTCCCTGCTTCATAATAGCTCTCAATGGAGCTTTCTTAGCGTAGGACACATCAATAATAAAAATTTTGTACATTTTCAATGATTTGTTTATTTTAAATAATACACAAAACGATTTTAAACTATTTTTATTTAAATAGACCTATAAATCATCCAATATATGATATAATGACAAAAAAGGGCTAAAGCATTTACGCTGATGATGATAAGATGTTGATCGAATACGCGCATAGATAAAAGACTTAGATTTGAATATGAATATACCTTGTACAGATTGTTTCTTGATATTCTTTTTGTCTCTAACGGTCTGTCTCACAAACGTCCATTAAGGTTGACGAATTTAAGGTATAATTAATGTCCTATTTGTATGGGTAATATCGCTTTAAACTAATGACAATTTTAATGGACGCAGTAACCTTTAAACACGTAGGTGAGAACAGTTAATTTATATTACCCTACTCTATAATTTGCAAAACTACAGAGAGCAAGTGTTACACTTTTCTATAATATATAAAGATATATTATCTTTAAAATACTTTCTTAATCCTTTCATCCTTGTTTTTATAATTTAATTATTTCAATGTGTAATTTTTGTTGTGATTAGGGCAAATAAAACTATGGTCCATTAATTCATTACGGTATTTATTTTAGTATCTAATCTAACGCAGTATTAGCATATTTATATTTTTATGAGATCGTTTGCAATGAATTGGACACACCTGACAATCACACAATGAGCACAGTCGACAACTTAATTAGATCGACAGTTTTTATTGACTATACTTATTAAGTTATTGTCAATATTAATACATTTATTTTAGCTGTTTCAATTGTAAAACGCACGAACAAACATTTAAAAATAATAGTCAGTAAATGAACTTACCGTAAATTGTTTAATTTGGGTGTTAGCGCACCTGGTAGACATTTTTAAAGAATCTTAATTTCATTTATTTCGTAATAAATTAACGCCCAATAAGTTAAAATATTTTCAATGGTCATAAAAGATACTTTGCTATAAAAAACGGTTAGGCGCATCAAAAGGGTTAACTTATTTACAACCTATACAAAACATGTACTGAAGTTAAATTCCATAATAAAAGTTCCCGAAAACGTGCTTGGTTAAAAATAAATTTTAAGGCAATAAATATTAACCAACTAAAATAACATGAAAATGAACTCGCGTCTTCAGTAATATTAAGAAAACGATTAAAATAGGTGTAGTTAAAATCATTTGTCGATTTACCAGTCTTGTTAGTTTTTAGTGTAAATTTATTACCTACTTCAAAACTAAAAATAAAAAACAGAAAATCAAACAATAATGTATTTGCCTAACTATTAAAACAGCTAAAATAACAGGTGGCTTTCTCAAGGACATGTAACATCCAATGTTTTATAACATTTAGTTAACATTATCAATGGTATTAGTCCTTCGAGTCAACCTGAAATGGTATGTCCAATTCAATAAAAAAATCATAAATCTATTCTGTCAGGAGCTTGTCTCAAGGCTCTCTTGATTGATGAGTCTCGTTTTTCAGCCACACGTAGACGAGCAGCTTTCAAGTGCCTGAAGACAATACATTATTTCTATAATACTTCTTTAATATTTTTCACTTATGATACAATACATTGGTAAAGGTAAGTAACTTAGTATATTTGTGGCAAAAAATACCCTACACAACTGTCTGAAGACTGGACAGTGGCATAGGCTATCTCCATATTTGTTATTCATACATATTGTATTGATAAATTACATGATATTTTTTGTCCAAAACCCATAAGCGACAATAACATATATACTCCATTTGTTATAACGTTTGAAAAAAGAAGATCATAGAAGCAGAAGTGCAAAACATTTTATTTTCAAGACATTTCAAAAAATATATATAGTAATTTGTTATAAACTAACAATACTATTATTGAAGAATATACCTAGTTCGATAATTTCCCTTCTTCAGAACAGACCTAGGTATGTTCTGTATATATGAGATACTTTAACAACTTAAACTCTTAGAGTGAACTGAAACGTTAAGCTAAGATGATATGAGCTTATTATTATTATTATTTTACTTTAGGCATTGTTACTTCCTTCAGGACAATGTATAATGATTATTTTAATAAACAATTAATAGGGCTAAACTATTGATTACCAACCTTACAATAAACAATCGAATCTGTTAATTTTATTTAAATGTCTTACAAAACAAAGTAAACATTATTATAAATAAAAAGACAATTTGGTTTAATAACCTATTACAACACAACTTAATCTGAATAATAACAAAAAGTAGCATTAACAATGAATGACAATCATGGATTACATATTTTGAAATAAGAATATATCATAATTTGTCAAAATTAAAAAGCTATACTGCTGTAACATATGAAACAATAAGGCAACATTTAAAAAAAAGAGTTATAGTGAAATAAGAAACATGCCAAAACTATCCACTCCTGCTTCTTTAGGTTCTTAAAGATAGATAGACTTTTTATTTCAATAGATAATATATCATTTATTTTATCTGAATACTCATAAATTTACATGATAGATTGCTAAAACAGTAACAGTTAAGAATGACAGCTGGTAAATAACTTGATACATGGTAAAGAAAAAGGTGTCAAATTTTGCAAAGACCTTGAAAGAACGTTATTAAACTTCTGTCTAACGCTATAGTAAATGGAGTGTAATTATTTAAATTTGTAAGGCCTGAAATTCAATAATTTTATTTAAATAAAAATTTCACCTTTGTCTAATTCTCTCTTCTGTTTCTGGCGTAGGTGCTTTCTCTGTGACTTCAGACGCTCTAATCATGGTCCTAAGTTTTTGCATACAGTCGGCTAAGTTTAGTTGTTGTGAACGGGTTAAGTCAGAACGGATTATCAGGTAGCCGTCTTTGGTTAATTTCTTGCCATACTGTAACATTAGCAATATGATTATTTTAATATTCTTAGAGTTGAGCTACAACTGTAACCATAAAAGTTGTAAAGAAAGACAGCAGGTATATGATAGCATGCTGCAAATTCCTTGCGAGCTTACACAACAAAGGAATAAAGAAAAGCAACTAGATCACCAATTTCAGTATGAATATCTTTCTATTAAAAATCATCATACATACCAATTCCAGCATTCTCTGCCTGAGTTCAGGTTGTAACCAATCGGCATCATCCAACTTAAACCTGAGATCGACTTTAGTGTGAACCTAGAAAAACAAATAACAAATTCATACAGTAGATAGACTTTGACCAAAGGCTAATTTTCCATTATCTATACTAAACTTAATTATTAATTATAGTACATAGTAAAAGTACTCACTTTATTAACATTCTGACCTCCAGGTCCAGAACTTGCACTGTATGTAATGTCTAACTTTTCAATTGGAATAAATCCAGAAAACTTTTCTTTAGGATCTGGGACCTGCAAACACAAATTAAAACAGTAAATATCACATTTATTTTATTAAGTACTGGAAATCTTTACATGTTTTTATTGTGTTTAGCTACTTACAAAGGCTGGTGTAGTAAGTTTAAGGGAGCTGTTTGGATATATATTTTCTAAAGAAATTGAACTTTTATAGGCCAATGGACGATTTGACAAAATGGTATAGGATACATTTTGGACCGCTCTCCGTAACGGAACCAACCTCAAAGGATTTAGTGCCATAATAATGAGCGCAACTATAGTTTAAATCAATAATGATATTAATTTATCTTATTTTGTTACGGAATTATCCTAACCAAACACCGAAAGCTCTGGTATTGCTCTGGTATTTGACAATTTTTTTTTTTATTATTGGTGTTTACGGCTCTGGATACTAGTCCTTTTAAGCCTTACATAGTTTTTAGACAGAATACAAGACTAAAAATTATAGTCTATTCAACTTCCTCTGAGACAAAATGTAAACAAACAAACCAATGTTTCTGAAACTTTTTTATTTATGTTGGTATGTAAATAAAATTTGTTAATGGGGCAAATTATTGTATAGTAGGTATGCAAAATAATAAGTCTATTTCTTTTTCAAATAGCAATTGTAAGAGTCACATAATTTTATTCAGAATCTTCCCCTTCTTCCTCTGAGGAACTAGTTGCACCAACTTCTATCACAAAACCGGCAACCACGAATGTCTAGACATTCGTGCCGGCAACCAAATCATCTATGATACCATCAATTTTTAAAAAATTTTGTTTTTCTTTTATGACATGGTCAATGCCCTTTAGCACAGTTCCTACTGTTACCCTTTTTAGAGCATCGGTTAAAAAAGATTTTATTTCATTTAACTTAAAACTTAGCAATAACAGAAAACAACAAACTTAACAACTGGAATAAACAAATAACAAGAATTTAGCGAAAGCATTTTGCACGAGTCAACGAGTTGATCGAGAGTAAAAATGGCTGGTATAACCCGACTAGTTACAAAATTTCACGTTTCTACGTAAAGTATTTGTCTTATGACTACTCCTCAATTTAGTAGTATTATAATACGTCCAATGTTTGGGAACAGCTTCAATTGTAGGTGTTTTTAATGTAACTTTCATTTTTCATTAATTCTAAATGCATTTATATTTTGACATATTAAAGAACGTTTTTTCAGTTTGTTTACATTTTGTCTCAGAGGAAGATGAATAGACTATAGTTCATTGTTCTTTCTTCCTTTCTTCTCAGTCAGATATTTTTGACAGTGTTGACAACAAACTTCTTCTTCTTTTTTTAATGGCTTATCTCCGCAATTCGCACAATTCTGCCAATGTCAAGTAAATAAATTATTTTTTACATGTAGAATGAAAATCACATGAATGAAAGATGGCGAATTGATTGCGATAGGAAGAATAACGGTTTAAAGTATTTGTAGTCTTTTAATAATTCTTCCAGCGTTGATGGTATGTTCTTGATAGTATTTGAGTAATTTGAGAACCGCATTTAGTGTTGACAGATGCCTTGAACCCACAGACTAACAATATATAGGTAGCTACTCGAACCCACCAACTAGGTATGTGGGGCTCATGGGTTTTATAGTTATTTGAAAAAAGCAAAGGAATTAAGTTTCTCTTGGACTTGGATATAAAGTTTCTTGACCAAATTTAACTCCTAGAACATAGCACAAAGTTGACATATTAAGCTATTGACCAATGTTTTATCTTTCATTAAATTTTTTTAATAAATATATTATAAAGAGCTCATAAAGTCGAACTATATATTATACTATCACTACTGAACTTGCCGTAATATACGGCAAGACGTATATTACGGCAGGTTCAGTAGCGATAGACGGCGGACGTCGAGCCAGGTGTTATGTTAATTTGTGCGGTGGGTATGTGCTTTTTTGGTTCTTACAATAATAATGTCAGATTGACTTTGTACTGAATCTACTCTAAAAATCAGTTTTATTGAAATATATTACAAACTAAGTACCTAGAGTAGTCATGCTCTCTTAAAAATCTCTGCGGTGGTGTCGTGTGCGTCGGGTCGTTACGTTCCCTCAAATATAGATGAGCGAAGCAATGGCTGACTCATGTGTTAAGCTCCTAAACGGGTACTGCCAGTTGGGGTTGGGTCTGCACTGTCTATTTTATTTTATTATGAATATTGTATATTGATTTTTCAATGAGTATGTAGGATTTCTGATATTGTAATGGAATGTGACTTTATATTCCCAATAAGACTTCTGTTCTAAAAGCAGCCCTTGCTGAGTTTCTTGCCGGTTCTTCTAGGTACAAGATCTTCCGCCTTAGTTTTTCAAACCGTTGGCAAAGTTTTTGACTTCCACAAGTGATATGTAACAGTTTTGTTCTTGATTCCAAACCTGAATTCGGATGAAACGAGTCGATTGAAGTTATGACAACCATTGGCTCATCACTAATGTTGACATATAAACCAAACTTCGTTCCTTTTCATGTAATAATAAATAACTTAAACTTACGATTCAAATGAATAAAAAAATAATTTGAAAGTTAGATATGATAAGAAACACGAAACAATGTTATATTTATTAATTTTCGATACTCAATTTAATTATATTACGTCAGAAACAAAATTTGAATGAATATCATAGACAAGACCCACACCTCGCTAGTGACATCTAGTTTGATTTGAAGAACTAATTTTTATTTTTTAAATATTTCCTCATTGCTAATACGACTCCTTAAGATATTTTTTATTGGAACGTAGGATATGACCTGCCTCTGATTTACCGAAGATTTTTATGGATATGATTTTAATAAATAAGAACGATTTGAAGTTTTCCGGATTTTTGTACGACAACAAATATAATAGGGCCTCCCTTGTCAATAAGGAAGTATTAAAAAAAACAAAAGCACTAAAAAACACCTCCACTAGATGGCGCTTCTAGCAAAAGTTGATTTTTGTAGGAAACGAATGGACCAAAGACAGTCATTTCCGTTCCTTATAACTACCATATTAAAAAACTGAAATTTGCAAAGTTCGAGATTTAGATATCGATACAAATACGAAAAAGTACAAATAAAATGTTTATAGTATTTATAATGAGTTGTTCATTAAGTTTTGAAAACTAATTTACTTTCAAACACGTAAGAAAACCGGAAAGGTTGTCATGGAGAAATCACGAACGTACCGTAGCGACATTTAGTTTGATTTCGGGAAAAAAATTTTTTTTTTAAAATACTTCCTCATTCGTACGAGTAGTACACTAGAACAACATAGCAGCGTAAAGGCGCCATTCCCATATATCTAGAAATAAAGATCGCCAAGGGTACAAGTAATCAACATATTTATCATTATTTTCTTTAAAAAATAAATAGAAAGCTTAGGTGTATCTAAGCATCATATTTTCAATAAAAAATTGAAGATGAAGATGAGACAAAACCCTAAAAAAATATGTTGGTTTCTTATTATTTACAAAACCAGTAGCTAATTAGACTTGTATTACTGTTTAAAAAAAATCTACTCTGTGAGAATTTCGGGATAATAGATATCGCGAAATTCTCACAGAGTAGATTTTTTTTAACACGAAACATATACTTTTAAAACAGGTGAAACGGTGAAATGTTCTTAGGAATACAATGATCTACAAATAAAATTATTTAATTTTATAAAGAAACTCTTAAAAATGACGAACTCTAAATAACTTAAAAATAAGCATTTTTTTTTGTTTTAAGTAAAATTAATTTATTAATTATATCCATTGCTACTTAACACGTTATGCTGTTCTTATTATTTGTTAAATTCAACAAGTAATCTGTTAAATAATAATTTTCGATACAAATTAAACAGATCGTTTATATGTGAGTGGAAGTAACAAAATCGCCAGCCTTTTAAATTCTCGCTTGAAAAACGTGAAACATAAATGCGCGCGCGCAAGTCACGCTCCAAATAATTTAATTAGGATCCCGTTCCGCTCTGCGGCGCCTCACAAGTTTCTACAAGAATATTTAGACAACATAATTTTATAAATTTGACATTTTTATTTCAGCAATGGCAAAATAAATATAATTTTAGATTACATCACCCTCATTAACCTTTTATTATACCTACACAGAAACTGGTTTTTTAAAAAGAAAACTCTCTTTACTATTCATCTTACCTACCGTTTGTTTAAAATTAATATAACCTTACAGCCCACTATTATCTTAAATGATGATCAAGTAACTATTCTATCTATTACAAAAAAGAGCCATCTACGTTACATTTAATACTTACACCATTCGCATTCCAAGAAAGCAATTTTGATAGGTAGGCATACATTTATTGTATGTATGTGTTTCAAATGACTTATAGCGATCCGATCAGCATTAATTAATAAAACACGACAAAAAGTGTTGAGCTATCTACAATATCAACTTCATGCAAATTTATAAACCGTCCGCAGTTATAAATGAGACGTCGGCTGCGCAGTGCCAGAGTTGTCGTAAACGTATCATGATTTAGGAATTAGATCAATTTAAACATTATACCTACGTGGATCACGCAAATACTGATTTATTTATTGAACTCACACAGCCGTGTGAATTAATGCTTGCATGCACATGATTTTATAAACTTATCTTAAATAGATGCGTATCAATTAGTGGCAGATAATTTAGTTTATTTAATTATTAACAGATCATTTTGATTTGTATTTCACACAATAGTCGTACTCGGGCATGCCATTTCTTAGATAGAGGGCGCTTTGCCTGGAGTGTTTCTTCTACTGAGTTTATGGTTTAAACACTGATGACTCTAAAGTTAAACCGACTTGATTTAGGCATTTTTCAAAGTTTACTGAGTGAACCACTGGCAAACAGCAAAACTTATATGCGACATGGTAAGTTATCGATGATTGTTGATCTCTCAACTATTATTTTTAGCGCTGTAGTAATGTATATTTAGGGTACGATAGGACTGTCATAACTTAAAGATAAAAGTCTTTAAAAAATTGTTAAAAAAAACAATTTTCTTTGGTTGATCCTGTTAGTTTATTTTGTATGGATATCTTTATAAGAGAAACAGGCAGTTGCACAAACGTCTATTAAAATAGACATTATTTGAAAGTGGCATTACCCATACAAATTTGACATTCATTAGAGCTTAAGGGCGTCATTAAACCTAAATGGACGTTTGTGCAACTGACAGTTAAAAGTTTTATTCAAATTTTATCAAAAATTTTAGTACCATAATCATTGTTTAATGAAAATGATTTATTGTTCAAATGAAAAGTAGGTAAGTAATAGAAAAGAAAAACACGATTATGCTATTAAAGAAATTAAATATTATCGCAGAGTCTATTCTAGTGTGCGACATTCGTGCAAAAAAGGCGTTAATCCTAATTTAAACAGCTATAAATTTGTCGCGCGTGATTGGTCACAGTTTTTGCACGTACTCTGCCTGAGTTACTCGTCGCTTCGTTGACAGAACTGTAAATTAGTGACATTTCAAGCTAGGAAATCTTAGGGAAATTTCAAGATATCTTGCACTATATAAAGATATTTCAGTGGTAACTATTATTTGCTAAGTAAAATAGCACCTACCTATTAAAGAGAAATTAGATTAACATCAACTTTAAAAAAATCAATGGTACATATTTGTCACCCAGACTTTTTACGATTAAATTGCTTTTATTAAATTAACTAAAAGTAGATAAAGGTTTTAAAAATGAATCTGCCGTAGATTTATTCGTTTTCTACTATTGTTATATTTATTTCAAATTAATTTAAATACCTGCTCAACTTTTCTGAGATTAGATCCCTCAACAATAATAAGAGTAGGTAAGCAAATTTTTAGGACATGATTTGATTGTTATCTCGAGTCGTGTCTGCAACTCACTCGTATAGCCCACAAAACTAGCCAGCTACGGACCGGTAACTGCTTTCATCAATTATGATAATGCCAGTTGCATCTGGAGGCACGCACACGCGCCGCAAACATGTCTGCTTTCCGAATTCCGCGCTGGTTGCGGACGAGACTTAACGATGCCTATCTTCATAAATTTGATGTTCCGCGGCTTAACTGTAATTATACGTTTAAGATGAGACGATTATTCTATTTTTTTCACCTTCTTTTTTTTGTAAGTTCAGTGTCCGGTGGTAGGTTTATGTGGCTGTATGTATATTATTCATTGTTTTAAATAGTTTTTATTTTATTTATGAAATGATAATATAATTAAAAAGATCTATTTTTTTGCAAAAAATCTTAAAAATTATGACAGGAACATTATTTTAATAAAATTATCACTAGCTATGGATGTTTCTTATTCATATTTTCTTACAGAAACTACGTATTTTTATTGTTGAAGTTTTCCGACTTTCCGACTTAGTGCACCCAAAGTCACTAACTTTCTACTGGTTTGTACAAAGAAATAACGTCTTAATGAGCTGTCATTCAAAGGGTCACAGACAAAACGATAATTTATATAATTCACAAAAATCAAAAAGTTACCCCTAAAGTTTACTTTTTTAAAATTTCTTGTTATAATTAACTATAGCTACCCTTTCTAACTCCCGACGCAAAAAGAGGGGTATTATAAGTTTGACATGTATATCTGTATCTCTGTAGCTTTTGAAATAATGCTTAGATCTTTAAAAATATAATCTCTCTTAATTAAAAGGCAACTACAGGTGAGGATTACGCGAGGGTCATACATTTCTGTGGTCAAATATGGACTAATTTGTAATATAGATATTTATAGATCCAACAAATAATGTGAACGTGTGTTTCCTCGCAACTCACAATCAATCATCGTAGTAAACAACCGTCAGACAGAATCAATATTCTATGTAAAGAATCATTAATTTTTCTCACGTCCTAATTAGCGTTGCATTTTCCTATTTGCATATAATTACGCATCAGCTCGATCTACTATAAATAAGTATTACTTATGTGCTTTTCTCATCACTTTAGAAATATTGGTTGCTAATTAATAATACTAGCATTTGCCCGCGACTTCGTCCGCGTGGTATAGTTTGGTAGTTATGTTTGCGATTTCACTTGAATGTTCTAGCCACCTTAATAAAAGTATAAGGTATCCGCTTATTATCCGCTTATTATAATGAACGTATGAACCACCAATCCATTGGCGTAGGAGAAGGAGCTCCCCCTTCTGCTGGGACCACACCAGAATTTTACTATTATGCAAAAAAATGACACTGCAAGATATATTAATCTTTATATGGTGATATTTGAAAGTTAAAATTCATTTATTGTTGAGATATATTTTATTGAAAAAAAGCTTAAAAAATCCACCAGCCTCGGGCACCCCGAGTTGTGACTCAAATCCACAACCTTACTGTTAATCTACTTGAGACAATAATATTAGCGAATTAATACTCTCATAAGAGCAGCAAAGTGGGGCATAGATAAGCCATTAGAAAATACAGCATGTTATCATTGTAGATCACCCTACTAGTGAGCTCATCGAGTGAGCTCCGTATCATATGATCTCCCAAGCGCCGGAATGAAATGCGGCTATCGAGATCAAGACCTGCAGCCACCTGCGGCAAACGTGCTGGATCTGAACAGTTCACATTCCGTTCAAATAGCACGGTGATAGTGACACGCTCAAAAACGTAACTCTTCATATTTAATTCTAGTAAATCTCATAAGTAGTTAACTGAATTTTAGTTTGCTACTTATTGCTTATTTTTGTGTTTATATGTTCTTGATTACGTAAAAATAAGTTTAAAATCTACTTACTACTTGATCACGTGTAAATCAGCCATTACACCATGTTGCACAAATGTCCGACTTTAAGCTCTAATTAATATTCTTGTAAATTTGTATCGATAAAATGTCGCTTTAAGCTAATGACAATTTTAATGGACATTTGTGCAAGCTAGTGCTAGAGTTTTTAATCATTTTAAAAAAGAGTTTTTAAAATGATTAAAAACTCTTGTTTTACTATCCAACACGCTATTCGTGCTTAGATAGAAGAATTAGCACCAGTACCAGCGCTGGAGTGGTAAAACTACTCTAAATATGCACTATATTTTTTTGAGTTACTCTTATTGTAAACTTTGAAACAATATTCTTTTTAATAAATTGTGGAACTTTGTTTACTAAGGTGACATCCATAGACCAGGCTTGGAAAGCATATTCATCGTCCGGGGTATTAAGGTAAGTATTAAAAGTTTTAGTAAAAACCTTAAAATGCAACATTCCACAATTTACACATTTTCTTAAAGAAACGAAGGCAAACGTTTTTAAACTTTCACCGCTAAAATGTTTGACGATTTTTTCGAGCTTTGTGCGAACACATTCACTAGACACACATTCCTATTGGGCGCTATGGTAACGGGGATTGCGCGGCTGCCTTCACACGCATCCGCATCCGCACGGAACGTAGCATGCAACGCGCCATCTTCAAGCTGTCAGTCCGCCGCGAATCGTCGTGGGGGTAGCTGCGTCGCCGTTTTGAATATCCCATATTATCAGCATACCGGTTCTAAGAAGCCAGTATTAGCCAAAATAAGGACATATTGGAAAATCTAACTATTAAAAAGTGCGAAATTTATTTATGGTTGTGTAGATTACGGTACCATACGCCAGATAGACTTTTCTCATAGTGAACCAGTGCTTCGGTCTCCCGATCTACACGACTGCATTTCTTTGGTGGTGTGTTTGCTGAAGTGTGAAAAGGTAAGTTTTTACTTCAAATAAGAGTAGACTTTTTGTGTGGTTCTTGTAGAGCTAGTTTTTTGCGAAGATGTGTCCGTTTAGCTAGCCCCGGCCGCACCACCGCCGGTGTAGGGGAGCGACATTGAATCGATTGTGCCGGTCTCCGACACGTATCTATGAGTAGGTTGGTCGCCTTTCGATTCCACCCTCACCTCGCTCCCTTGTGCTCACGGGGCTGCGTATTCGTTGTTTCGTCTGATCTTGAACAGACTAGACGCCAGTCGGGATTGTTGTGATATGAATTATTTATAAACATTATTGTATGCATCGCTGTACTTCCATACTTGCATGCAGCGACTTATTGTTTTTCTAAGGTTGATTAATATGAATTGTCTCGGTTGTTGCCCGTCGTTAGTTAACGGGTGCAAACAATATGCTGGCTAATACACAATTTATTTTTCTACCCTCTAATTTATCTTAATTCCTACGGGATTACTGGCAGTAATAGTAATTGCCTGCTTCTCTCCGGTTCCATAGTGTCGTTTTGTCATCTGTGATTTTTTTACCCGGGTTCGATTCTCGGCCGATGTAGAAATTATTTTTGGTCTGCTTTCCTTTGGATTTCCATAGACAGATAATATCTACAAGTTATTTATGTATACCTACATAGCCCGGGGCATACATGATATACATGATATTCTTATTATAATATTTTCAGTTTCTCATGCGCTAATATGCATGGCTACGCGACGCAATTTCCCCTTATAATAAGGATGTTTCCTTATACAAAATCATTTTCCTCTCGAAGTGATTTGATAAAATATACCTATAACAATATATCTGTAACGTCTATTAATACGTACCTAACATTCCGCCAATATAAACCATGACATTATTAATAGTTAGGATTCACATAGTTAGTGCGGGTGATTTCTGTGGATCATTTTTATAGGTCGGTCATTGGTGATCGTCCAACGAAATGAGCCCGCACAAATAGCTCGTACTCTTCCACATACGGTCCTGTTAATGAGTCATAATGAAGTCAACGGTCAATAGCGCAATCGCTGTGCCTCATGCATTATTAGTTTCTTTTCTTCCGCATCCAGCATGCGGGCCTACAAGTCAAAACGCGTCTTCGTTGCGGGCGCTATGGCATGCGCTTAAAAATCTGCATTAACACGTGCTCGTTTCGATACAACGGAATGCGTCTAATACTAAATTTGAATGGTGTACAAAGAAATGACACCCATGACACATGTTTGTAAGGGTTCCGTCGCGGTCAAAACGAGAATTTATAAAAACCACAAAGTTAATTCGCAATTTTTTTAATTTCTTCATGTAATGATTTCTTTTTATTATACGTAAAATTTATAAATATGCGAATCGAATGTCTATGCGAACGTGGACAACTTTTACAATATGTATTCGTAAGGGTAAGCGAGTAGATGCATAATTAAACATATTTTGTTCGGTTGTCTCTATCAATGAGCTAGATGAAGAGTTGGAGACAGCCACTTGTATTTACTTTCAGTCTTAATTGTTGATTAACTTTTTCTAAATCATCTTCACATTCTATTTATTTACGCTCCCTGTGGATCACCGGCTTGCATCTTTTACTAAATGTATTTTGTCTAATAGTAATGGAGTTGATGGGATTTGACAAACAAACGGAAGGACAGACCGACAGATACGCGAGGGTTTCTTTTTTAGCTTTTGATATTCGGATATACCTTATAAAACTAATAGGTACTACCACCTATTCTAGTTCTAAGACTATTATTATTGAAGCCGTGCGTACATTATCTAGTACATTATATGGTACATGATCACTACACTACAGGTACAGGACAGTGAAATCTAAATGATCTCTTCCGATCCAGTTTGAGTCCAACGCGCTATAAATTATATTAAAACTTAAATTAGAAGTGATGTTCACCGTACAACTAGTGCTCACCATCATGTTAAGATTATATGCTTCACGTCATGATTTATTAGTGCATTTTTTCAAAAATAAAACTATTGTATTAATTAAAAAATATTTTCTGTTATAAACTAACCATTTAATAGTCTACAATTAAAAGAACATACATATTTCTATCGATCTTGAAGATTCATGATATGCCTGTATGTACTTGTAAAAAAGCAATATTAAAAGCAATTTGGTCAATTCTGTACTTTATTATTAACAGATTCAGGTTCAAAATTGATAAATCTTACCAGTGGCAGTTCAATTTCTATGAAATTCTGTTCATAATTAGATAGAAAGAGTAGAAAAGAACGGATCACGTTTTAAATGAAAACTGTCACTGCGTGAAAGATCAGACAGAAGCACAAACAGAGCGAGCTGGCGACCATGCAAAACCGTGCCTGCTTCATAAAGGAAGACTAGTTACACAGACTTACGTTAAAATAGTAATTTGTCTAAAGCAAAACTTCCTGTACAAATTAAGAACATTAATTAAAGCTAAAAAGCCATCAATAAACCTTAATCGATTTATGCGCAAAGGTGTAATAATTAGATGGAAACCATCGACTATATGGCCTAATTATAATGATTAAATGTCGAACGACGTTGCTAACTTTATACATATAAGACCGGGTCATCTGCCTTAACTTAAAATATGGCTATCACGATTTGTTCCCATACGACGCGCGCACTTTCATTATTTACACCGCGGTCTCAATACCGCGTAACAATGATCCTTAAACATCGTCGGATTTTAACGGTATTTAAACTGGAACGGTATCAGATAAACGGTATCAAAGCAGTTTTTATATGAGTGGAATTTTTAGGCTCCTCGCAGACTGCAACGTCGAGAAAGTGGCAATTAAACAATTTTTGAATAAATCAGCATCCGAGGCCTGCGCTCACCGAGATCATAGATGAATTATTAATTAGCGAATGTCTCGGTGATGTCTATTTTAAAGTCGCACTTTCGTTTTTTTTTTAATTATACTAATTTCAATTTGAATAGGTATTACTATTCATGTTCGCTGCATAGATACTATTTTTAACAGACCTCAAAAAAGGAGTTCTCAATTCGACTGTATGATTTTTTTGTGTTTGTAACGCAATTACTCCGCCAATTATGAATGGATTTTCAATTTTCTTTTTCTATTCGACAGCTGAATGGGCCGAAGTTGTCCCATTTAAATTGTATCGAAATCAAATAAGTAGTTTTACTTTTATAACGAAACAAAATACGATTTCCATCTGATATTACCTAAATATTTTGATGTCATGCTTATATATCAGCGAAAAAATAAAAGACTTATGTTCAAAACGCGTATTATGAATAATATACTGTTTGTAGATTCAAATATCAGGCTTTTCGTTGTAAATATTATTTTGTTTATAGATATTTAATATTTTAGTGATACCTATACAAAATATTTATATTATATAAAGTACCTATATAAGTATCACTAAAAATAATGAAAAAAAAAACAATTTCAACCGAGTTCAAATTTTAAAAAAGTAATAAATAATACCTATATGAAAAGTGGTTAAATTTTTTAAGAAATATTTAAGTCAGCCAATTAATATTTAATAAACTACAGAATACCTTAGCCCCACATTAATGGTTCTTGAAAAATTTAATCGCTTGTAAGATAAGTATTAATTAATCACGTTTTGAAAATTTGAAATCGGTTAAATTTTTTGAAAAATGATTTTTATTATAAAGGTGTTATCGTATCATATAACGTGTAATTTTTTTATTTTATTTCATGTTATTTTTTTTTGTTTTAACGAGTTAAATATGATAGCATTTTACATTTTTTCAATCTTTCATTGTTGCATTAGTTTATTTATTATTTTTTATTGGATAGTTATGTGGATCTAGCTAATTGAAAACACTTCATCATTCATTAATGATGTCTGAAATCAGAACACTTTTTTTTCACTTTAACTTTAATATTATAAGTCCTAGTTTTAACAAACAGCTTTCTTTTAAATTAAAAAAAAAATAACTTATAAATTAAAAACACTAAAATCAGAAACGAACTCTTGTGTCGGTTCTCAATTTAGAAACCGTGCGTTACTTTCCTATATTATTAACAATATCATGAATATTCTTTCCAAAGCAAACCAGCTATTAATGATATATTTATTTCGATTTTTTCTGTCATCAATTGCAATATTGCTATCGACTTTAATAATGAATATTAAACGCCTATTTCTTTCTTTAATTTCTCTTAGTACACCCACAGTCGATCATCGTGAATGAGGTAATATGTAGATAAGAAACTTGATAGACAAAATATTTCGAGAGTACAGATAATATATACACATGCACTTTATCTTATCATATATTCTGTTGCGTGTCCCAAACGCAATGAGATGAATAGATCATGTCCCGATGATAAATACTTATATCGTGTAGTTTTTTAATGCTGTGTAGTATATTTTATATAGTGCAGCCTGAATATGCACCATAAATAACCTTAGTGCGAATCAATACGATTATTCTGTGTAACGAAATTATTATTACGTTTTGCAATAATCCTTCCTTCCTGTTGTAAGTGACGTAATATACCTTTTCAAAAATTTATTTTTTTGTTGTGTTTCAAGATACATTAAATTGTGTTTCAATGCATAGGTCATATACATTTGATTTAATTGATATCTAAAAAAAACTTAAAAAGAAATAGAACCTGCTTCAAAATGAAAACAAATACACTTTTTTACATTTGAAATCGGTTCTATTTTTTTTTAGTTTTTATCTCATGCTATTAAGTGATATTGATATTTTTTTATATAATAAGTAACACTAAAATACTTTTCTAAAAACGCGTCAAAACCGTGTTAAAGTGCAAACCTTCATTTTTTACTCAGTGAATATATCTAAAACCTTTTCCTAAGTCTGACTGATACTATGCTGAAAACCGCATCAAAATCAGTTCAGCCAACGTGAGATAATCGCTCACAAAACATACATACGTGTCAAACCGAGACCCTCTCTTTTTTCGAAGTCGGTTAAAAACCTCGATTTCGGTGCTTATACACTCACAGATAATCA